CCGCGCCCCCTGCGCCCTGGCGCCCGGCGCTCACGCGGGCCCTTTGTGTCTCTGCTCCTCCCGCAGCAAGATGTTCATCGGGGGACTCAGTTGGCAGACTACGCAGGGTGAGCCAACCCGGGAGCGCCCAGCGGCCCCGCAAGCCTCCCTGCACCCCTCCCTGCCCCCCAGTCCCGCACACCCCAGTCCGGCCCTGCGCCCTGCTGACCCCGGGCGCCCTCATGCCCTCTTTCGCGCCCCGCCCCTGGGACCCCGAGAGTGCAGGACTGTCGGCGAGCGCGCCCGGCCCAGCGCGTGATGGGGAGCAGTTAAGGGGCTTCAGGGGGCATCAGGGGGTGGGTTGGGCCCCCGGGACTCTCCAGCGGCAGCGCCAACTCCGCTCGCACCTGCGGCTCAAACTTTTGTGAGGCGGCTCCCAGAGCGGCGGGAACCCGACCGGAGCGGTCCCCCCTCCAGCCCGGCCCGGCCCTTGCCTTCCCGAGGCCCCGGGGGGCGCCAGGAGGCTCCGCGGGAACCAGGCGAGCGCAGTGGGGGGAGGCCCGGCAGTAGAGAGCGCGCCGGCAGCTTGGCGCGGGGGCGGCCGGGCCGCGCCGGGGTCACCGGGGGCAAAGGACTGGGGGTGGGGTGGGAGGGCTCCCGGCCTGGGCTGGTCCGAAGGCGGGTGTGTGGTTACAGAAGGGCTGCGCGAATACTTCGGCCAGTTCGGGGAGGTGAAGGAGTGTCTGGTGATGCGAGACCCCCTGACCAAGAGATCCAGGTGAGCCTCTCGTCGCGCCCTCCTGCACCGAGCTCGCCCCCTTCCACCACCGCCACTCACGCCTTGTAACCATCTGCCTCTCCCTCACTACGCGGCGCAGGGGTTTCGGCTTCGTCACTTTCATGGACCAGGCGGGGGTGGATAAAGTGCTGGCGCAATCGCGGCACGAGCTCGACTCCAAAACAGTGAGTGGCCCTCGGGGTTTCGGGGGTCCTTTGGGAGAGGGAGGCTGCCAGAGGAGAGAGAGTCAGGACTATCTCCAGGGGACAGCAGGATGGGGTTCTTGAGAAGAGAGGGGAGTTTTCCGAGTAAGAAGGGCTGTCATGCTCTGAAACTTTGTCAGTGAGTTGGGGTCAGAGGGAGGAAGAAAAATCCCAGACCTAGGATAAGATGCTACATCGCCTCCCTCCAGTATTGAGGAAGGCAGCAGCTACCACACTCTCCCTGTAAGTACTAATCTTGATACCTCAGGGCTTGGGGTGGAGCTGGGTCCCTTCCCTAGTCCAAACTGAGTGAGTCAGGGCTGCCGTGACCCATGGTGGCTTCACTGAATCTAACTAGTATTTGACTCTGTGACACCCCCTTTTCCATTCCAGACCAATGACAAAGCAGTATTGAGGAAGGCAGCAGCTACCACACTCTCCCTGTAAGTACTAATCTTGATACCTCAGGGCTTGGGGTGGAGCTGGGTCCCTTCCCTAGTCCAAACTGAGTGAGTCAGGGCTGCCGTGACCCATGGTGGCTTCACTGAATCTAACTAGTATTTGACTCTGTGACACCCCCTTTTCCATTCCAGACCAATGACAAAGCATCACC